AATTGAAAATGAGTCCCTTGGCAGTGAGTTACTTACCCAACAAACATCACCTAATAAATTACCCTTGAAAACAAAACTAACCAAGTTACCAACTAAAAGGGCCCCAGCTAAAAAACATGTTTTCCCAGTGAGATTTAGTCCAAGAAAGAGACCTTTTTCAGTTGGAAAAGAGGCATCTGCCAGCTCATCCCACAACAAAGATACCCCTACCTCAGCAGCTATCAAAGAGCATGTAAACCCTATATCTTTAGGTAACCCTTCTTAAACCAACACACGACCCTTATCCAAACCCAGATCTACTTCTGTTGAATCATCTGGTATTCTAGCTTCTTCACAAAATGATCCTGGTGACACAGATACATTTGATTGGGAAGATGATGGACATGAAAGTCTCATCCCTATAAATGATCTTATTCCTGATTTTGGTGATGGGAGTGATGACTTAGACCCACTTTATGAACTTGAAAGTAGAAAAGGGAAGTCAGTAATAGATAAAGATGTTGATGGAGTTGTGTATAGTGATAGTGAATATGATGAGGATTTAGAGGGCGAAATTTTGGGTGGTAAGGTTTTTGGTGATGAAGTGTTGGATGCAGGGTTTGAGCTGATAGATCTGCAATTAGAGGGTGAGGAATATAAGCAGCAAGTAAATCAGGAGTTAGTGTTTGAGTCTGACAATAGTGATGATGAGTATAACACAGCTAGGGAAAGAGTTCAGCTTTGCAACACTCAATTGTCACAGAAGGCTCAACAACTGCAACTAAGTGTAGCCCAACTAGTCTCTCAAGACCAAACTGTAGGAGATCAAGCAACAAGTGAGACATTTGAACCAGCCCCTTATCAAAGTGATTATGAAGACAGTTCAGAGGAGAATGACACCCCACCTAGTAGTGAGGATGAGGGTGTGTTAGTTGGTAGGAGGGAAAGGAAGTCTTTGTTAGTAAGTCCACAAACAGATTTTTCACAATTCAAGTGGAGAGTTGGACAGAAGTTTGCTAATAGGGAAAACTTTAAGGAAGCAGTTGCAAAGTATGTTGTGTTTCAGGACAGGAATGTGGGGTACATTAGCAGCAACAAAAAGAGACAGCAGAGGTTAGCAGTCAAGTGCATACAGGGATGCCCACTTTATGTGTATGTATCCTGGGATACTAGAAGGGCAACACTAATGGTGAAAAAAGGTGTGTGGTGATCATAGCTGCCATAGGAATATGAACAGAAATAGGTAACTATAAGCAAGTTGGGTTGCAAAGCAATTTTTGGATGTGTTTAAAACAAGGCCTCAGTGGCCTGCACAATAAATAGTGGACTGCATCAGGAAGGCATACATGATTTTGGTGAAACGAGACTTTGCTTACAAAGTACAGTATGCTGCTCACAAGGTCTCACATGGGTTAATGCATGACCATTATAACAAGGTTGGCGGTTATTTAGCAGCAGTGAAAGCATGTAGTCCTGCAACAGAGTGCATACTTGTCAATGACACCTCAAAGAATCCACCAGTATTTCAGAGACTCTTTACGTGCTTTGAGGGTTTGCAAAGAGGGTGGAAGGAGGGGTGCAGGAAGGTTTTGTGTGTTGATGCCTGCTTTCTGAAGACCTTTCTTTGGTGGACAACTTTTGTCTACTGTAAGAAGGGATTCAAATGACAGATGTATCTAGTGGCTTGGACCATAGTGGAGGGTGAGAACAATAGCTCTTGGAAGTGGTTTTTCACTCAAATTTAGTCATGTTTGGAGCTAGGTCAGGGAGATGACATAGCCATCATTTCTGATGAACATCAGGTCAACATCATAATCTCATCCTTTTTTAATTGAATTTTAAATGTTTATTGTTGCTGCAATTACATAGCCATGTTAGATTGGTTGAATGCTTCTCTATATTTGGTTGATGTTGCAGGCAATCTTACATGCTATCTCCAGTGTCTTTAAATGCAGAGCATAGACACTACGCGAGACATATCTTTGCTAACTAGCACAAATCTTAAAGAGGAAAGGTGATGAAATTGCTTTTTTGGAAGATTGTCAAGTCCTACAACATGGAAGACTACAAAGATAATCTGAAAGAGCTAACTGAACTGAACATTGAAGCAGCTGAGGCCTTTGAAGCATACAAGCTTGAGTTATTTTGCAGGGCATTCTTGAAGACAACAATCAAAACTGATGCTATAACCTCCAATATGGCCGAAACCTTCAACGGGTACATAATAAATGCCAGGACAAAACATCTCCTATACATGCTAGAGGAGATCAGAACTGCACTTATGCAGAGATTAGTAAAGAAAAGATAAGAAATGGAAAAGTGTGGTTCTGTGCTTTGTCCTAGGATTCAAGCAAAGCTGGACAAAGAGAAAGAGAAGGCATCCAATTGTGAAGTTATACCATCATCTGACATTCTTTTCAATGTGACTTACTTTTTTGATCAGTTGGTGGTTAACTTGCAAGCAAGGTCCTGCACTTGCAGGAAGTGGGAAATGGTGGGAATCCGTTGCTGCCACTCGATTGCATGTATATTCTTCCAAAATAGGGAAGCTGAAGATTTTGTGGACCCCTGCTATAGAAGAGATACACACTGAAAGCATATGCAGGTTTGAATGCTTGATATGTGGCATTATTCATTGTGTAGCTTGTTTATATAGCATTTGAACTTGTATATTTACTCTATTTGCTTATGATGTTGGATCAATACCTCCTGTGGAAGGGGAGAGGCATTAGCCTAGAGTTGCTTGTCCCTTAGATCCACCTCCTATTAAAATAGGGCCAGGTTGACCTAGAAAGAATCGGATCAAGGATCCATTTGAGCACCCAAAAAAGCCTGGACACTTGACAAATTCAGGTGTAGAAATGACATGTAGTGTCTGTCTTGTGAAAGTCCACAACAAACGAAAATGCCCTAATAAAGACACTGCACCTGCAAGAGAACCACCAGCTAAAAAGGCAAGGGGAAGGCCTAGGTAGGATGGCTAACCACCTCATCCATCTGAGCCTTTACATGTTAATGCACCTACTGCAGGCACATCAACTACTGCTCATGCACATCATGCAGCAACTACTCAACCAACACAATTAGGAAGAGGTGGAAGAAGTATCGTAGGGGGTCAAGGGGGGGTAGAACATCTGCTGGTGGAGGAGGGACTGCAAGACAGGGCAGGGGGAAGGTATTACTGTCTCATCTTGCACTTGGTTGTAATTTTTTTTCCCCTCCTACTGTCTAATGCTTATGGTACTAATTTTTAGATGCCTAAAGGGAGTTGGGGTTTTGTTTGCAGCAGATGGTTCTGTTGTGACAGCTAGAAGGGGTAGAGGCAGGCCAAGATCAAGCCAAGTCTCAAGCCAGTTGTAGCATCCTGCTGTTCTCAGCCAGTCAAGCTAAGCATCAACTGTACTTCAGCAAACTTAGTGAATATGTGGAACACCTAATGCTAATCATATGTAAAGTCATTGGTGTTTTGACATTGCTTTGACTTTCATGTTGTTTGATATTTTGAAGATCTGTGTAACTTGGGTAACATTTTAACTAATTGTGACAAGTACAAATCTTTTGATGGATTGAATTTCTCAGTTGCATGTAACAAATTAACACACATTAAAGATTTTATTGCATAAAAGTACTTAAATGAACACAAATAGCTGCTTTATTTACTCATAAATGCCACAATCTCTAACACACTACACCATACAACTGTCTGATCATAGTACTACATAATCCTATTTTAAGTAAAAGATCACAAAGCCAAATAAAACCCATGAAAATAGCAGTGCCATTGACATGTGCCTTTCAGTCTTAGAACTCATCATAAGCTCAACCCTTGATTGACAAAGATCAGCCTTCATTTGCTTCACATCATTTTCCAACTTCTCCTTCTACCCTACCAATTTCTTCACCCTTTCCTCCAACCCATTACGCTCGTACTCCATCTCAGCCATTGTAGTACCCCTTTCAAAGATTTGAAATCGAAGGTCGTCAACTTCATTTTTGCAATCAACCCATTTAAAAAATTACAATTTGTGTCCTGTGCCAAAACCAAATCAATTATAAGAAAATCAAAAACCTGATCTGCTTTAATTCTTTCTAAACCAAAACAAAACACTCAAACAATCTTACCGGCCATTTTGGACAACCAAAAAACTTGCTACCAACATTCGGCCTTTTTTTCACACTTCGTACCACCGCATTAGAACCACAAGTGCACTTTGTTCTCAATCCACCACAACTCCTTGAGGTTGAAGATGAACCACCAGATGCATAAGACTAATCTCCTCCTACCATAGTTAATTAGGGTTTAAAGAGAGAGGAGAGTAGATAGAGAAGAGTGAATAAGTGGGATGAAGAGGAGCAGGGGAATTAGCGAAGACAGGGGATATAAGGGTTTAATTCAAGAATTTTTTAAAAAAATAAAACAAAAAGATATTACTCCAACGGTCAGTGACACGTTAGACTAATAACCTGCTACAGTAGGTTATTTACCTATTGGGACCAAAAAAAGCGAACAAATATAAAAGTTGGGATTATTAAATAATAATTAATAGCTGAGATTAAAAAAAGCGAATGGGTGAAAGTTCAGATTATTTTTATCAGTTTTTCCTTCAATTTTTCGTGCCTGATACAATGTTATGAAAAGTTAACATTATGTCTTTCTTATTTATACAGGATAACTACTATTGAGTGATAATACTTCTATGGATCAATTAATATTATTGACATTTGGCTAAAGGTAATTGGTCATCTTCTAGTTTTATTAATCTTTTTCTTCATTATACCTAATCCATTAGTTGGGTATAAAAATAAGAAATATGTATCTTTTTAACTACGACATTATTTTGATTTTATTACTATGAAAATTTTGTTTTTCTTGATATTAATTGTGCTTCATAATGTCTTATAGGTTGATGTTTGATTGCATATTGAGCCTTGTTACTTGGCTTGTTACTTGCTGTCAAAAAAAAAAAAAAAATGCAAGAAATTTTTTTAACATTTATATTACTACATCATATTCATAAAATTCATAGTGCTTATATCCATTTTTACTGTTAATAAAATACAAGAGCATTAATGATGAATTGATGAGGCTCAATGCTAAAAAAAAGTAAGATATCGTAAGCATTATTTAAGATAAAAAATTTGATGTTTGACTTGATAAAGATATATCTTATGCATAAATGAAAGTTTGGCTTGAAGAAATCCCACCTACTATAACTTCATGTTCTCCTTGATTAAGGTTTGAGTAATTAATAAAAGGAACCCTCTTCATGTCAAAAATAAAAAAAAAATAAAAAATAAAAAAGATTTGATGGTATACATATTTATTAGGATTTTATTAGAAAAAAGTTTTCTTCAATTTTTAATTTATAACCTAGGTTCATAATTTTCAAACCTATATAAACACTAAATTAAGAAATATTTTTTGGTAAACACTATTCTAGTAATTTCTTATTTTTCAACGCCACACTGGCAAATCGTTCTAAAATACTTGACCCTTATTTAAAAAAAAGAAAAAAAAAATCATCGCTTCTCTAATCCAAGTTCAAAATTCAAATCATCAATTCGTCCATTTTTCACAACAAAACCCCCCATTTTCATTGGAAGAGAGAGAAAATGAACATCATGAACAATACTCTTCCTGACCATCTCATTTTCGAGAAAATCCTCCCAATACTTCCTGTTAAATCATTACTTCGCTTCAAATCTGTTTCCAAATCATGGCTTTCTACCATTTCTTCCCCTGAATTTGCTAATCCCACCTCCAATTATTCTCTTCACCCCCTAAATTAATCGTACTTGCTGGGCAAAATCGTGCACTAGGAGAGGAATTTTACTTATTAAATTACGATGAAAACAACAATTACGAGCTTAAGCATTTCGTTGAATTGGAATTAGAAGATGAGTATGATAGTCCAGTTAAATCCTTCTATATTCTGGGTTCTTGTAATGGGCTTGTGTCTTTGCATGTACAAGAACGGTCCGGTGAGAAGGCGTTCTTTATCGGTAACCCGGCTACTCGCCGCTATCGAAAGATCATGATCCCTGAGGGTGTTTATGTAAGTTATGTCCACTGTTTTCTGTTTTACTATGAATCATCAACAGATGACTATAAAATCTTTGGTGGGTTTTCGTCTTTTGAAGGTGATTATGATCAATTATATGTGTTTTCTTTGAGTGCTGGAAATTGGAGACAGATTAATGTGTTAGATAATCTTGTGGTATCAGATGAGGTTGAGGAGGTTGTATTGGTCAATGAAACTATTTACATGTTGTTTGAATTTCGGAATACTATAATTGGGTTTGACTTGAGTACAGAACAGATTAAGGAATTGCAGCGGATGAATTGGTTGAATAACTATAGATGTGTGAGTTTGTCGGAGTTAGGAGGGTGCTTGTTGTTGCTTTGCACTACTGCTAATCTTAAAGTAGATGATGTTTGGATGTTGAAGGATCCTAGTGATGTGAGTTCTTTGGAGAAATTGTTCTCTGTCAATCTTACTAATGTGTTATACTATGGTTTTTCTGAGAATGGCAAGCGTTTGCTACACACTGAGGGGAAAATCAGGGTATTCGATCCGACTCGGGAGACTCCACAGATGACTCAAGGGGGTATTGCTTTCTATAATGATGATAGCATTGTTCAATCAAAGAGTTATATTGAAAGCTTAATTTCACCTTTCTAAAGCCATGATAAATGGAGGTAACAGAGAGAAGGGAATACAACACTCATTTTGGTAATTAATATTACTCCTATTCTAATGTTGCTATTTCCATTGGCCTTTTTTTATTATGCTTAGTTGCTTATGTGTGAATTTCCTTTGTTTGATTGTCGGTATTCATCCACAATTATTTTATTTGAAGATTTGGACTATATCTTTGTTTGTTTATCATATGATTCATGCTTCTATTTTGAGGTGGGTAATGAACGAAAGCTTGTTCGGTAACGACAAGCAAAAGTTATTCAGTCTCCAAATAAATGTTTTATGTGGTATGCTCTTGTCAATAATTAGTTACCTCCCTATTCTTTGGCAACATTATTCTAGCAGTCTTGTGCATCGTAAGGAGAGAATTTTATGTCAAGCTCAGTAATTGATGGTTCAATCTTTCAAACCTGAAATCCGATGTGGTAGATTTCTCTCAGCGCAATCTAAAGAAATTCTAAAAGTCTTTGCATAGTTATATGTACATTTACATTGACCGTTATGTTCGATGTCTTCCACCTCCAATAGGATAAATTTAGAGGGTTACTATTATACCACTATACTATCAGACACCTTCAAGAATAAAAAATTTCAGCTTGAAACTTCCCATATTTAGCTTGGTTGAAGTAAAGTAACTCTTAGATAGAGCATTCTCCTCCATTTTTATCATTTTTTTTCATTCTAGAGAGTAGAGACTACCAGCTAGGATTTCCCTCATTCTGCAAGCATTTTGTTTTAAATCCTCTGAGAAAACCAACATGAAAAAACAGGTGTTCCATAATCTCAAATTCCCCTGTCATATGTACTTTGTAGGAAGCTTACTGTATATAGTTAACCACAAATTAAGCTCTCTGTGGGTAAGCCATGTTCCAACTTTAAATGCCACTTTTTTCCGGTGACCCTGGCAGCAATTTTTTTTATGGTATTATCCTGCTGTAATAGGACATGAGAGGATTTTTAACATCAAAACTATAACTTCGTCTGAAAATTATTGTTTTTTCTGGGCAATTTTCAGATGACAACCTACAATGGAACAATAGTTGTAGGTGATATGGAACTCCTAAAATGACTGAATTAAAGTAACCCTAAGGTGGCAATCCATATATGTAAGAAATTTTCCATTAGGTGCCCAATATTTACACTATAGAATATAGATTGCCTGCTAGTTGTTTGAAACTTGCAGATTTCTTACATCTCTTTTCTTTACTATTTATACCGCTGTTTTCTACTTGATGCTTGGTGAATTGGACATTGCAAAAGGGTTTTTAATGCAAGTACTTCTCTTAGTTAAGTTTTTTGGGTGCTTTGGTAATGTACTAGCCAATATTGATGTGTCTTAACTCTTGATTCTTTAGCTATGTGACAAGTGAGATGGTGATTCTTCACTTGTTAAAATAGCTGCATAATTTACCAAACCTTATTGGAGGGATGAGATCTTTTAGTTTTGTCTTGTTTATGATCAGAGAACTAGTTAGATTTCATAATGTATGATAAATGCAACCATGCAAGCTATCTTCTTTTTGGGAGAGAAAACTTTAGTTTTCCCCTGCCTAAGATTAATGATACAGGGGTTATATGGAAAGTCGAAATTAGTTTTTGTGAAAACTTGCATGCATAAATATAGTTACAAAATCAATCAACTTAGCTTACAATGTAGCGGACTAGCAGCTACAAGGAGTTGAAAGATCGCCTGTTTGATTTGATTTCTTTGTGCCTTGCAGCTATGAAGAGTTTGGTAAGTTCGCCTTTCATGCTAAACAGCCTGTGTGATATGGTGTCTTCATGCCTTAAAGAGTTTAATTTAAGGATGATGAGAATGGCAGAGTAAAGAATCTTATCTTGTGTTTTATGTGGTATCTTAGCATGGCTATATATTGTAGTAGAATGTACTAGTTTTCTATCAACGTTTGCCTTTTGAGTGTAATTTTCTTGCAAACTAGTATCTTAATGTATAACCATGTGTGTTTTAAACTTTTATGCTTGTGGTTCACGTTCATCTGCATTTGTTCCAGGATTTCATTTCTTTCTGTTAAACTTTTATGTATTAGGAATTTGTGGGGAATGCTCTTTGATTGCTTGTGTTGAACCTAAATGTTCTACACCTTTGGCTGCTACTCTGAGTGTAATTATAAAGCTACCATGTAATTAAAGTGCCAATTTGGAAGAAAGATAGGATTAACAGATCGTCAAGAACACAGTAATTAACCCTCTGATGTTTTCTTGTGGACAAGTTTCTGTGAAATTTCAGTTGCCTCTCATAATGTCTGGTCTGTCTAAGGTAAACCGTCTTAAGAGTTCCGAGCATCTTGAGCAGCAGTATAACTGTATTCTATGAGCTCATTTACGGCTGGATTACTCTACTTTGTCCACACATTGTTTATGACTGTATGCTAGAATTTAAAACCAAGTCCGAACAACTCTACTTTGTCGATTGAGTATTTATGATAGAGTTTAAAACCAATCCTACCCTAACCAAAAGGCAACCATCTTTAACATGATGTACTTTGCAACAGCAACCCGAACTCTACCACACGTCCTCGTAACAGAGGGATTTTGCCTAGAGTCCCGATTGTATCTGATTTGCTTCATAGCTGGTTGTACGTATTGGCTCTCTGTTTTTAGACTTTTTACACTACCAATTCTTCTCCTCCTCCCGCCGTATGGCTCTCATACTTGTTGAATGTCGATAATAGACGTTAATTTTCGTATTCAAATCGTCAAATTTAAGTTCCAAAAATTAGGGTCTCTTTTAGGCCTTCTTTGTCCACGTGCCGTACCCGACTATTTTTATTTTTGTATAGGATTCAGCTACCTGTTGTTTTTGTAATTTTTTTGGTTAGTTTGTATGGTGATCCTATAAAAAAAATTCTTCTCACTTTCACTTTTTTTTTTCTTAAAAAAAAAGATTTTCATGCATATTAATTGATATATCCTATAATATCTAACTTTCAATTTGGTAACTATATTCTAAGTATATTCAATATGCATTCAATGAAAATATTTGAACATATCTTTCATATATTTTATAACTAGTTTAGGCCATGACATGGTAAGTCTATTTTTCTTAAAAAAAAATAATGAAATCTAACAAACAAAATTTGATAAAACATACATATCAAACCTATAGAAAGTACATTGTCATAAATCTATATTAAAAGGCAAAGCAAAGGTTTGATGTATGAACTCATATTTTAGATAAAAAATAAATAAATAAAACTAATTGTACAACAATTTGTACTTTGGGTGTATTATATTTACCTGATTTTCACTTATCTGAATTTATTTGAACTAATCTGAATTTAACTTAACTTAACTTATCTGGAACTTATTAAAACTTATTTTAAACGTAATTTGAACTTAGGTAATCCTCATCATAACTTATTTTTCCTGAACTTAACTTATCTGAACTTATATGAACTTAATTATCTGAACTAATCTGAACTTATATTAACTTATCTGAACTTATTAGACCTGAAATAAGTGAAATAAGATGAACAGAACAGACCCTTCATTAAAGCATGCACATTATTGAGGAAATCTAAAAATTCTTTCTTATTTGTTATTTTTACTGTTTTATTTTTTATCTCACATTTCACGAAGTTTTATCTATGTCGTTATCAATTGTTTTTGGAAATTTTTTTTTAAAGAAAACCTTAAAAAAAATAGAAGTTGGTAAAATTACATTAATATTTTACAGAAAATTAATTCAATTTTTATTGTTTCATAAGATTTGAAATCAATAATAAGAATAGAAATGGTTTTTTTTTTTTTTCCAACGACTTACACTACTCTACGTTATTTTAATATAATGGTAGTTCTAATGTGAATTTTGTATGCATGTCTCGTTATTTTATACATTACTAAAAAATAACGGTCAAAGTTAGTAAATAAATATTGAAAAAAGTAATGGAAGGGTATTAAAGTTTTGGCAAAATCTAATACTCCTATAAAAGATAATTATACAAGAACTGGAAATATTTTAGGTAAATGTGTATGGAATAATAAAAATACCAAATAAAAAAATAATATTTATAAAAGATTTGGAATAAAATTATTATAGTTGAATTGTACAAATATTCTACAAAATTATTTTGGCTAAAAAGGAAGGGGAGTTTTGGAGAGAAAAAACAGAACCAGGAAGTAACACGTGTCACTCCCGATGTCTGTTTTAGTATTAAGTTATTGATTAATAGTTATTTTCTATTATAAACAACATATTCTACGTATTTTTTCATTTGAAAGTTTTTTTGCTCAAACCAGTATTAACACTTTAACTTTTATTATATATTTGTTGATTTATTTATAATAATAACACTACAATTCAATAACTATAAATATAAATATAAAATTAAAATAAATACTTTGATTATTAACTGTTACAAAAATTAAGTCACTTAAATTTATATAAAACACTTGTGCAGGTCAAAGTAGGTTATAAAATATTGTGCCGGTCAAAACATGCCAACACAAAAAGGGACATATGGAGTATATAAGTAAAAACCGTGTGTTGGGCGGGACTTAAACTAGTTTTTCAATAAAAAGAAATGAGTTTTCATCGAAAAACACAATTGTAAACTACTTTCAATAAAATCATTTTCCAACAAACAAAAAAAACCCTTAGGAAGAGTGAGGAATAGCTCAAGTGGTTAGAGATTCCTTTCCGATTTCAGGAGATTTTGGGATTGATTCTCACCCCCACCCCCTATGGCTCTTAAAAAAAGAGAAAGAAAGGAAAAAAAAAAAAAAAAAAAAAAAAAAAAAAAAAAAAAAAACTTAGACTTGGTTTATTTTGACTGAAAATATTTTTCTTATTTTTTTATTATTTAATTAGTAAAAAAGAGAAAAACGATTAATCCTTTTAGTCTTTTAGACCCCCCCTACTAAGGAACTAGACCACTTTATGTCGTTTACAGTGAGCACCACGCGTTCACGCCCCCAACGGTGTAGCCTTTAACTCTGGACAACAATTAATTACTTTATTACTTTATAAACCTTTGTTCCTCTTTGAAATCATCGCTTCCTTGAATGCATCAGTTGAAAGAGATTCAAAATGAACAGCATGAACAATACTCTTCCAGACCATCTCATTTTCGAAAATATCCTTCCAAGACTCCCTGTCAAATCCTTACTTGGCTTCAAATCTGTTTCCAAACCATGGCTTTCCACTATTTCCTCTCCTCAATTCGCTAAATCCCATCTCCAACTCTCCTCTTCACCCCTTAAATTTATCTTACTTGCTGGGCTTGATGGTGAGTCGGAAAGAGAGTTTTACTTATTAGACTATGACGATAACAACAACAATTACGAGCTTAAGCCTTTCGTTGAATTAGAATTTGAAGATGGGTGGACTAGTTCATTTAAATCCTTCTTTATTGTGGGCTCTTGTAATGGCCTTGTGTGTTTGCAGGTACGAGAATGCAACGGTGAAGCGTACTTTATAGGTAACCCGGCTACTCGCCGCTATCGAAAAATCCGGTTTCCTAAAGGTGAAGAACTTGGTATGTGTGTGTTCTATTATGAATCATCAACAGATGACTATAAACTTTTCAGTGGGTTTTTTTCTCTTGAATATCATCGATTTTATGTCTATTCTCTTAATGCTGGTAATTGGACAAGAATTAATAAGTTAAACAAGCGAGTGGAATCATTTGATCTTGAAGATGTTGCTTTGATTGGTGGTACTGTTTACGTGCGTGCTGGAGCGGAAAATCCTATATTTGGGTTTGATTTGAGTACTGAACAGATTAAGGAATTGCCAATGATGAATTTGTTGAAAAACTATAGAAGTGTGAGTTTGTCGGTGTTAAGAGGGTGCTTGTTGTTGCTTTGTACTACTGCCAATTTTAAGGTAGATGATGTTTGGATGTTGAAAGATCCCAGTGATGTTAATTCTTTGGAGAAATTGTTTTCTGTGAATCATAATAATGTGAAATACTATGGTTTCTCTGAGACTGGCAAGTGTTTGGTACACACTAAGGGGAAAATCAGGGTATTCGATCCGACTCGGGAGACTCCGCATAGGTGCCAATGGGGTATTGCTTTCAAGAATGGTGAAGTTGTTCAATCACAAAGTTATGTTGAAAGCTTAGTTTCGCCTTTCTAAAGCCAAGACAAATGAAGGTAACAAAGGGAAGGGAATGGACTCATTTTGGTTATTAATGTTACTCTTATTATCATGTTGCTGTTTCCATTGGCCAAAATTTTATGCTTAGTTGCTTATGTATGAATTTCCTTTGCTTGATTGTTGGTTTTTATCCACAATTGTTGCTTGAAGATTTGGACTATATCTTTATTTGTGTTATGAGAGGGTTAGTGAAGTTAGGTACTCTGTATCATTTATGATTTTATTTATGTTGAGGTGGGTAATGGGTGAAAACTTGTCTGATAATGACAACAAAAAGTTACACATTCCCCAAATAAATGTTTTACGGAGTATGTGGTAAGCTCTTGTCAAAAATTAGGCACCTCCCTATTCTTTGGCAACATTATTCTAGGAGTCGTGTCCATCTTAAGCATAGAATTTTGTGTCAACCTCTGTAATTGATGGTTCAAATACTTCATCAGCTCATTATATGAACACATACATTAACCATACTGTCCGATATCTTCCAGCTCCAATATGATAAATTACAGGATTATGATTTCTGCAAGATTTCAGATTTCTCCCATATTTAGTTTTGTTGAAGGTAACTCTTTGAATTGGGGGCATTCATTAAGATCATTATATGAACACATACATTAACCATACTGTCCGATATCTTCCAGCTCCAATATGATAAATTACAGGATTATGATTTCTGCAAGATTTCAGATTTCTCCCATATTTAGTATTGTTGAAGTAAGGTAACTCTTTGAATTGGGGGCATTCATTAAGATCATTCTAGAGACCAGGTGCTATATGCTATGTAGAATTCCCTCTTTCTGCATGCATTTTGTTATAAATCCTCTGTAAAATTAACATGAAATACCTGGTGATCGGTAGTCTCTCAGTCCCCTGTCATATGTAATAAACTAATTTGCTTTTACGCATCCAATATAAATTTGACCACATTTTAAGCTCTTTGTGGGTAAGGCATGTTCCAATTTCGAATGCATTTTTTTCCTTCTAATTCTGGCAGCAATTTTCTCCGAACAATCCCAAGTATTCAGATAAAAAATCTTGTCACCCTCCAATTCTCTAATTTCTAACTCCTATTCTAACATACAAAATAAATATAGGAGATTAGGAGTCTTGTGTTTATTGAGCAGTAGTTTTATATTCAAGTTTTTGTAAAATTTCGGTTGCTTCTCTAGTCTATAGTCTAATCCAATTAGCTTAGACTACTAAGAAATTTTCAGTCAGGTTCAGTCTTGCATGTTTAAATAAATGAGCAGATGTCACTTGAGAGTCCTACATCAGTTCATTTGTTGGATAATATCCATCTACAATTCTTCTACGGCACTCCTGCTTCAATGGGACATGTAAGGATTTTGACATCAAGAATATAGCTTTTGAAAATTATTGTTGTTCTGGGCAATACTTTTGGATGACAACCTACAAGGAACAATAGTTTTAAAGATATGGAAATGGAACTCCCATAATGACAGAAGTAAAGTAGCTTTAAGGTGGCATTCCACACATTTAAGAAAATATCAGTTAATTGGCAAACATTTAGACTGTATAGCTTTTCCTCTGGATCTCTATGATGGCCTACTGGTTGTTTGAAACCTTCAGATCTCTACCTTCTCTTTTCCTCCCTATTTATTCTGCTGTTTTCTACTTGATGTTTGGTGAGCTGGACATTGCATAAGGGGTTTTAATTAGGGGATACATTCTTAGTAAAGTTGTTTAGGTGCTGGTATAGGCCAATCTTGATGTATCTTAACTCTTGATTCTTTTTAGCTATGTGACGAGGGAGGGGGTGATTCTTCACTTTTAAAATTATTACATCATTTGCCAAACCTTATAGGAGGATGAGACCTTTAGTTTTCCCTTGTTTAGGATCAGAGAACTAGTCAGATCTCATTATGTATGATACATGCAGCCATGCAGGCTATCTTCTTTTGGGGAAAGAGATTTTTTTTTTTTTTTTTCCTGCTTAAGATGAGCCAGTCTAGGTTCATCAATCGGTTATGATACAGGGGCTTATTCTCAATCACTTGTATGCGGCAATATAGAAACTCAAATTTTGTTTTTTGTGAAAACTTGCATGCATTGTTAGATTTGCAAAATGAGGTGTAACTTAGCTTACATCGTAGCAGCTATGAGGAATTGAAGAGATCTCCACTCATGCTAAACAACCTGTTTGACTTGATTTCCTTGTGCCTTGCAGCTATGAGGAAATGAGAAGATCACCTGTCATGCTAAACCACCTGTCTGGCTTGATTTCTCCGTGTCTAACAATGAAAATGAAGAGACCGAGCAGAGTATCTCAGCTTGTGTGTTTTATTATGTATAATTAGCTTGGTTAAAATTAGTAATACTCATACTAGATTTCTAACGACGTTGACCTTTTGGGTGTTATTTTCTTGCAAACTAGTATCTGTAATATATTAGCCATGTGTGTTTGTATAGAACTTTTATGCTTGATGTGTTCATCAACATTTGATCTGTATTTCATTTCTTTTTGTGCTGTGCTAAACTGTTAGGAGTATTGCGGAGAATTCTGTCTTTGGTTGCTGATATTGTACCAAATGTTCCACTATTCTGGCTGCCACTGACTATTGTGTTATTTGTTTTAATGAAAACTTGCATGCATAAATATATCTAATGTTAGTCGACTTAGATTACATTGTAGCAGCTACTAGGAATTGAGAATAATTATTTAGCTTTTTGCCAAACTTGTGTATTACTTCGTATGGTTTTGGTTATTAAGCAGGGGCTTGAAAAATGGGTAAATACAATCGGAGTCAAAAGTGAATATATAATCAGTTGAAAAATAAATTAAAAATATTGTTAAACCGCACGATTTTTAAAAAATGTGTAAAATGTATATTTACAATTTGATATGGGTTATACTCCGAACTAGATTGCTAACACCCATTGTCCACATACATTGTGTAGCTTAAATGTTATTAATTACGGAGTAAATTTTTTCAGAATCAATGTTCTCTAGTTACAGAACTGAAAAGATGGTCTTCTCCTCTCCTCTTCATCTTATAATTTGTTCTTATTAAAAGCATTAATGCCTCCTTTACGCACGAGAGTCGAGAGATTATAGAAAATTGACATAAAGCTTTCTCTCTTCCCCATTAAATCAGATTCAAAATTGACATAAACCTTTGTTCTTCTTTGAAATCATTGCTTCCTCTCTCACCCTACTCACCTCCACAGCCTGAACACCTTTCTGCCGCCGTACTGAATTCAACAGTTGTAAGAAATTCAAAATGAACACCATCAATAATACTCTTCCTGACCATCTCATTTTCGAAAATATCCTCCCAATACTCCCTGCTGAATCCTTACTGTGCTTTAAATCTGTCTCCAAATCATGGCTTTCCACAATTTCTTCTCCTGAATTCGCTAAATATGTTTGTATTAAGGTATGCTAGTTTTATATTTTGGGTTAGTCGCATTATTGTGTAGTGTATCAAAGGCATGCTAGTTTTTGGGACTAAGGCTTTGCTGCTGCTGCTGTTGTTGTTGTTGTTGTTTCAAAGGAATTCTAGTTTTTCAGACTAAGGTTTTGTCGTTGTTGTTATAGTATCAAAGGTATGCTAGTTTTATAATTGTTGATTGAATTGGGTTAGTTAGGCTATTGTATGCCGTATCAATGTTATCTGTTCCATTCAGTTATTGATTTGCTTATGATTCATCTGCAGATGCTAATCTTCGTCAAGTCTTTTACCGGAAAAACATATTTCTTGAGGTTGAGAGATTTGACACCATTGACAATGTTAAGACTAAGATCCAAGATATGGAGGGATTACCCCCAGAACAGCAGCGTCTGATCTCTGCTGGAAAGCAGCTGGAGGATGGCCGAACTCTCGCTGACTACTATATCAAGAAGGAGTCGAACCTCCACCTTGTTCCCCGTGTTCTCCGTCTTTAAAGTTTAAATCCCACCTCCAATCATCGCCTTCTTGCTTATATGTAAGGTAACTCTTTGGGGGCATTTCGATAACATCATTCTAGAGACCTGCTATTTAGTTTTCCTGCATTTTGTTATAAATCCTTTGCAAAACTAACACGAAAAAACAGGTGATTCATAGTCTCAAAGTCCACTGTCATACGTAATAAACTAATTTGCTTTCACGCATCCATTTAGGTAACCTTTACACCACAAATAATCAAGCTCTTTGTGTAAAGGCATGTTCCAACTTCGAATGCCTTTTTTTCTTCTAATTCTGGCAGCAAATTACTCCAAAAAATCCCAAGTTTTCAGATGAAAAATCCTGTCAACCTCCAATTCCTAGTCTAGAACATACAAAATAAATGTAGGATTCTTGTGTTTATTGAGCAGTAGTTTATCTTCAAGTTTTCGTTGTTTGAAGATTAGGGTAAGGTGGTTATGTGCTCTTCGTCAAAGTTGGTGTTACACAAAGCTTGTTATATACAGTACTTAAGTTAATTCTGTCTCCATATAGATGTTTTATGTATGTGCTAACATTTTTGCTAAATTTCAGTTGCTTCTCTAGTCTATAAGCTAAACCAATTAGCTCAGTCTTCTAGGAAATTTTCATACAGCTTCAGTCTTACATGTTTAAATAACTGAGCAGATGTCACTTACAGTCCTACATCAGTTCATTTGTTACAACATTTCCATCTACAATTCTTTTACGGCACTATCCTGCTTCAATGGGACATGTGAGGATTTTGACATCATGGATATAACTTTTAATAGTTATTGTCGTATCTGCACAATACTTTCAGATGAAAACTTACAAGGAACATTAGTTTTAATGATATGGAACTCCCATAATGACTGAAGTAAGGTAGCATTAAGGTGGCATTCCACACAAATAAGAAAATGTCAGTTAATTGGCAAATATTTAGGAAATATAGCTTTTCTTCTAGATCTCTAGGATGACCTACTGGTTGTTTTGAAACCTTCAGATTTCTACCTTCTCTTTTTCTTCCTATTTATTCTGTTGTTTTCTACTTGATGTTCGGTGAATTGGACATTGCACAGGGGTTTAAAATAGAAAAAACTTCTGTTGGAAAAGTTGTGTGGGTCCTGATGTCTTGACTCTTGATTCTTTAGCTGAGTGACGAGGGAGGGGGGTGATTCATCGCTTGTTTTAAAATAACTACATCATTTACCAACATATTAGCCATGTGTTTTTGTGAAAAACTGTTATGCTTGTTGTTCATCTACATTTGGTCTAAATTTCATTTCTTTTTGTGGTATGCTATACTGTTAGGAGTATTGCGGAGGATACTCTCTTTGGCTGCTGATATTGGGGATAATTTAGGTTCATCTTCGATAAACAACAATTGCTCCACACCTTTGGCTCCCTCTGCTGAGTACTCCGTATAATTACAAAGCTAACATGTAATCCTCAATGCCACCTGCAATACTTGGTTTATAACTTTATATGATCTTTCTTTATTAAAGTCTCAGTTAATTATTTTATTTTTTTTGGAAATGAAAATTAATATCCCAAAACAGCGCGGCTTGACAATTACTATCCCTGAAAAACTAGTTGCTAATTACTACCTAAAAACTGAACAATGTGTATAAATTAATTTGAGTTGAAATTAGTATGGGTAGACTTGGCAAACGGGTCGTTCCGGTCGGGACAATTTCGGGTACTAAATAATTGGGTCGGGGTATTTTGGATCAGGTCAATTATCAAGTTGAATTGAAGGGTCAAGTTTGGATCGGATTATTTCAAGTCGGGTCATGTTCGAGTCATTTTATTATGGGTCGATACTTTGGGTTAAGCTCAAATCTGTAAATTTATTAGTATCATTCTTAGCATACTATGTTTTCTTACATTAAATAATCAAGGAAATAGACAAAATTGCGTATCTAAGTAATAATCACTTAGGTTATATTAGGTGTCAATTATCTTTAGTTCAGATCATTTTGGGGTATCGGGTATATCCAAGTCAATATTTGGTCGGGTCACTTTGGGTATCGGGTAAATTTAGGTCAATTTCGAGGGTAGGGTCACTTTGGGTATCGGGTCAATTTCGAGTCGGGTACAGTCGGATCGGTTCAATTCGGGTATTGGATCAAATTCAAATAAACTCCACTTTGGGTCAAATAAGTTTCGGGTTTGAGTCAATTTCGAATCGATTATTTCGGGTCACAAGTCGGGTCAGGATTGCCAGGTGTAGGTATGGGTCATCTTGAACATAGGGCAATAAATAAAATCCTTACAAATAAATAAACTCCACTTTGGATCTCAGCTCTCAGGTCAAAGTCAATTTTATCAGGTTAGAGCTCACAGTCAAAGTCAATTTTATCAGGTTAGAGCTCAACCCTTACATTTTACTCCATTGGTAAGAGTTAGAAATTCACACCAGTGTATTTATAATTGTTGTGGACAACTATCATAATTTACCTTTGAAATCATCAGTTACTCCCAATTTTCATCAGAAAATGAACACCATTGAAAACACTCTTCCTGAACATCTCATATTAGAAGAAATCCTACCAAGACTCCCAGTAAAATCCTTACTTCGCTTCAAATCTGTATCCAAATCTTGGCTAAAACCCATCCCCAAATCTCCTCTTTTCGCCCTCACTTCCTCGTCCATGCTGCGCTTCATCGTGCATCAGATGACCAAACTTACTTGCTACAATACGATCAAAACAATTCCAAGGTAAAAAAATTCATTGAATTTGATTACGAGTCTAATCTTCCAGTTGAATTTAATTACATTGTGGGTTCTTGTAATGGTCTTGTTTGCTAACGTGGAAACGAACTCCGCTTTGTTGAGGCATTCTATGTATGTAACCCGGCGACTCGCTGTCTTCGAAAGATCATGATTCCTGATGGTGTAGACATGGCTGTGTGGGAAGGGTGTGTGTTTTGTTATGAATCATCAACGATGATTATAAAAATTTTCGGCGCCTTCTTGTCACGTCATCCTTGTTATGCTCAATTTTATGTGTTTTCTTTGAAGGCTGGAAATTGGAAAAAAGTTGGTGGTTTAGACAAGCATTTGGAATTGTTTGAGCTTGAAAAGGCGGTGTTGAATGGCGATACTAGATACATTTATGCTCAAAATTATAGGTGGAAGAAGGCTAAATTTGTTGTTGGGTTTGATTTGATTACAGAACAATTGAAGAAATTGACTTTGGATGCATTGGTTGAATAAGTATAAGTTTGTTCGTATATTGCAGTTGAGAGGGTGCTTGTCGTTGCTTTGTTCTGCTGATTTTGTTGTAGATGATGTTTGGATGTTGAAGGACTCTAGTGATACGAAATCTTGGCAAAGATTGTTCTCTATCAATCGTACTAGTGTATTATATTGCGGTTTATCTGAGGCTGGCAAGTGTTTGTTACACTTTCAGGGGAAACTCAGGGTATTCGATCCAAGCCGGGAGACTCCACAAATGTCTCTAGGGGGTGTTGATTTCGATAACAATGACAGAATACTTCAGTCAAAAGATTATATTGAAAGCTTAGTTTCGCCTTTCTAAAAGCCAGGAGTAATGAAGATGACGGAGAGAAGGGAATACA